ACAAAATATTTATTTTATTTTTATTTTGTTTATTTTATTTTTATTATAAAATTAAAAAATAAAAAAAATTTAAAAAGTTGACAAAGTACCACAGAAATGTTTAAAAACTTACAAAGATGATACAGTTAAAGTACTCCATGTGATTCATAAGCATTTATGGCAAGTACAGCAGCGGGCAAGGGTCTGGAAAAGATCAATTTATCAAATACCAAAAAAAAGGGTAGTACTAAAAATATTCAAACTACCAAACAGTTGTACTTATGTCACATGCTAGTAAAGTTCAATATTTTGCAGTAATACATGGAATAAAAATTGCCAGATTTACAAGCTGGATTCAGAAGAGGCAGGGGCACCTGAAATCACATTGCTAACATCTGATGGATAATGGACATTACAAGTACACTTTTTTAAAAAATCATTTTTGTTTTATTGGTTATACAAAGGTTTTGGCTTCAGATTGCAGTATATTGTACTGGATAGACTCATCTGCTCATTGAAGAATTTGTAAAGTGATCAGGAAGCAATAAATAGAACAGAATACGGAGCAACTATATGATTCAGAATTAGAAAAATAGTGCATCAAACACCAGTGTCTGCAAGGGTGGGCACAATGATGAAAGTAACAAGCTCTTGCAGATGCCCATGGCACTGACTTTGTATACTATTTAATGCTAGATTAGAAGAAATTGAAATTAACAATTGCTAGGAGAAATATTAACAACCTCCAAATAAGCTCATGTTACCATTTTGATGACTGCAAGTGAAGAAGACTTAAGGAATCTCTTGTTGAAGGTAGAAGGGAGTGAAAAGGCCAGTCTGCTGCTTAATATTAAAAAAGATTATGTGAACAGATAATATCAGTCCACCAATAGGTGGCAAAGTTGAAGTAGTGCCAGATTTTGTCTTTCTAGGAATAGTGATTGCGGCCATGAAAAAAGAGACTAGGGCAGAACAAGATAAAATATTAAGTGCAAAGATGCTGATAAAGGTCGTACCGTCGGGACTTTGGTTTTTCCAGCTAAACATATGGCTGGAAAAGCTAGGCCATCAGAAAGACCAAACAAAGAAAAATCAATGCCTTTGAATTGTGATGCTGGAGAAAATGATTAGCAATACACTGGACCCAAATAAGAGCAAATCATCCAATACTAGTTTGCTGCTCATTATTATCAGCAATAATAATATTATTGATGATAATAAAAATAATAATAATGAAGCTGAAACTGAAGCTTAACTATTTGGGTCACATAATGCCAAGTAATCTAAAGCAGTGTTCCCAGCTGGCTGGGGGAATTTTGGGAGTTGAAGTCCACACATCTTAAAGTTGCTGAGGTTGAGGAACACTGATCTAAAGTAAAGTAATCTCATTGGAGAAGATCCTATTTCTAGAAAAAAATCACAGGCAATAAAAAATGAAGCTGACAGAAGGCAATGTAGCTAGATACTGTCACTAGTGATACAAGCGTGACCTTAACAAGAATTCAAATTAGTTACTGACAGACAATGCTAGCAAAATTAAGTCAGTTGGGTTATGAAGAATTGGAAGCAACTGAATAATAAAACAACAGCAGAGGAAGCATAAGCTCCTAAGCTTTGTTGTATCATATTTGATTTAAACTGTTTTTGTTTATTTATTAAGTGTTTATTTGTTTTTATTTATACAATTTACCAAATATGACAAAACTATACCAAGTAGTAACATATACTGAAATAATTGTATTAGGTTTATTTTTTCACTCTGCAAATAGCTAATATTTAAAACCTATTTTAAAATGGATTGTTTATAAACTACTTACTTTCAATTGTAATATACGTGTTTTCTGCAGTTAATAATTAGTTATTAATTAGTTATTAATATATTTATATAATATATATTAATAAATTATTAATAAATTATAAATTAATAAAAGAATGTGATGGCCCACATAGTTTTGTGCAACTCTAGATTTGCACATGTGTCATCTTTCTTGCAGGAGCTGCATTGGTTGCCAATTTGCTTCCGGGTCCAATTCAAGGTGCTGGTTATCACCTTTAAAGCCTTACATGGCTTGGGGCTAGGTTATTTGAAGGATCGCCTTTTCCCAGTTTCATCTCCCCAACCCACCAGATCAGGGAGACAGGGTATGCAACGGGTCCCCCCCATTAAGGAGGTCCACCTAGTGGGACCGAAAAGAAGGTCCTTCTCCATGGTGGCTCCCTCCCTGTGGAATATCATCCCCGCAGAGATAAGACTGGCCCCCACCTTGATACTCTTCTGTAAGGCCCTGAAGACATGGTTTTGCCAGCAGGCCTGGGGATCCCAGGTCAGTACGGAGCCCATCAAATGGCTAGTGTAAATGTGTTGTTGTCGCCGGGGGGGGGGGATATAGTGGGTTTTGTATTTGGGATTTATATTTCTGTAAGCCGCCCAGAGTCACAGTGAGTGAGTTGGGCGGCCATATAAATTGCTTAAACAAATAAATAATAATAATTGAATTGAATAATAATTGAATAATAACACCAACCATTCCCTAAATGTATGCCCTTTTTATATATAGTAGTGCATGACACTTGGGAATTATCTAAACAATTTTATTCTTACTCAAATTTAAATTTAAACGTGTAGTTTTAACATTTAGTATTAACAGTCATAAAAAACTGCACATTCAGCAGAATGAAATAGGAAGATCCCGGTGTTCTAAAAAGGACAGTAAGTTGTAGAAGCATTTTTATATTTCTTTCCTCTCAAGAAACTTTTGAATCCAAAAATATGTTATTTAGAGGAAAGGTACAATTTATAGGAGCTATATTCCTCTTTTCTATTTTCAGAATCCATAAGACAATCTATAATACATTGATAAATAATAGTATTAATTTAAGGAAAAACAGGCAAAGAAATGTAAAATTGAGGGGTTTGAAGGAGCCTAGAAATGAGATATCAGTTTAAAAAATCAGCTGAAAATCTAGAAGACTATGATGGTTTTAATCTAGCACTACACTAAGACCTGCATCTCTGTGAATGATCCTAGAGGTATTTCATGTTGATTATTTATAATTATATCTGAAAATTAGTAATTAGTTGGGGAAGTTTAAAAATCAGCTGTGTCCATGTTTTACACTATAAAATACCCAATGCTGAACAAATTGCAATTGGGAAAAGAGTAAAGAAACAAGTCATTAATTAATTCTTAAGATTTCTACTTTTTTATAATTGACAGGTTAAATAGCTCAGGAATAGAAAGAATTAAAAAGCCCCTGGTCTTTTGCCAAGCTGGGAAAGTGAAACCTATAAACTATATCTCCCTCTGCTGTAGCTAGTTGGAACGGCTGCTGGTAGATAATAATTACTAGTTTTTTATTATTTTATCGTTAATGTGTGTTGCTGTTCTTATTGTTTAAGCTTTCAGATAAAATAATTTTTAATCGTCTCTGAAAATATCAGTTATTGGGTGGATCAGAGGTATGATTTTAGCTTAGTTCTCTTTAATATTCTAGTTTTCACTTGTTACAGATTATCTTTTGTATTAAGGAGCAAAAATAACATTTACTGTCCCACCCACCCCCACTCATGTTGTAATCTGAATTGATATAAACTATTCTAGTACCTCAGAATTAGGTAATCTCAAATTTACCCATGTATAGGTCAGACCAAACTTTTATCTTAAGTGAGTGACAAGTGACAGTCTTAACTGCCTAAAACATTAAAATAATTAGCCACTATTCTACTTCACAGGAATTGTATGATCTGGTTGTGCTGTTTTTTTTAAACAGGTGGGTTTTATCTCAAACCAAAAAGGAGGATACAGATGAAGATATTGCTAAGTATGATGGTAAGACATAAACTTAGTGTTATTAATGAATTACTGCTTTGCGTAAATTTATTTGGATATTTTGTTTCAATTTCTAGTACTTCCCGTGTATATTCTTTTTTATATTGTTAATAAAAATTCCATCTACATGGCACCATGGCAGGTTGTACTGGTAACACTTTTAGTTTTTCTCAATCATTTTATCATCTAGTACTCTTTTGGGCACATAAGAGGAAAGCTCAAGATTAAAAGTAAAAACAGTTGTTTCTGGTAGTGCCCTGAGAAACTGCTTTTAAAAAGTCCTGGAAGAGTTAAATAATCAGTTCTTAAGTGTTGTTGGAATCAAAAAAAGATATATATAGAGAAAGAAAAGTGATCAAATACACAACAACAAAAGTAAATAACAAAAGAAGTATTGACTAAAAGGAAAAGTAAAAATTTAGAAGGAAGGAGAAGAAAGAAAAAAGAAGGCAAGCAGTCTTTTGAGGATGAGAATGGCAGTTAAACAGGTCTGAAGCAGAAATAGAAGGGCTTAAAAGAAATAGTTCTTATGATTGAAACACTGAGAGGTGAGTGCGAGATATGGAACACTGGAGTAGATCTGCAGAAGCCCCTATTAGCCTGCTCGTTGTGGAAGACCTGATATTCTACTGGTATCTAGGGATCTTCTCTGGGTATTGAACTACCAGTTGATCCCAGATCCCAGAATTTTCAGTAGATCTGGGGTGGCAGTCACTGTTTTGGGAGCTTATGTTGTGGAAAACTGAGGTCACCAGCAGTGGAAATGAATAGGAACTCTGAGGAAGATACTGTGCATGTTTGGAGGTGGGGTCTGCAGCTGAAAATAAAGAGTTGGGACCACTTTTGGGGCTGTCCAGCTAGGCCTTCTTGGCTGGACTTTCTGTGTCATCTGGACTGTTCTGGAGGTTGGTTTGGAGGACCATGTTCTCTAGTAGTTTAATCCCTTTACCATCACCTGGATTGAGAATGTGGTTGCTTGACTATCATTGTTGACCCCCTAGGAACTGCTTTCTGCCAGGAACTCTAAGATATTGCTTGGTTTGAACTTAGTGGGGAATCTAAACTCTGAACCTGGGTGAAAACCAGGGCTGTGTTTCAGATCTCCTACTGTTGTCAGGGCCTCCCTGTCCCTTGTGAAAGCAAGGTAGAGGGTCAGGTGGGTAGTATACGCTGAGTGGGTGGTACATCACTGAGTGGGGTGCCTAAAGAGCTGTTTAAGCCCAAAAGCCTTTGTTGAAAGTCCTATATTAGATAGGTTCTTCCTCAGCTGGGGGAAGGTGTTAGCTGCTATGGTAAGGAGGCATCATGGGAAAATGGTACTTGGTGATGATGGGCAAAGGGAAGTATGGCAGAAGAGAGTGAGTAGGCTGCACTTAGGGAAAGAGAGTTTGACATCTTTGTATGATTTCCCCTCTTTCAGCTCTCACTTCTCATTACCAGGAGCCAGGGTTCCAGATCATTTAGAATTCAAGAGCTCCAATTGCTGCTATTTAATGCCAGGTCTGTCTGTAGTTAGACCTTATTCATCCATGATTTGATTATGGATGAGAGGGCAGATCTGGCCTCTATTATCAAAACCTGGGTGGGGGTTAGAGGGCAAAGGCCCTCTAAATCTACCCATCTGGATTTCAGGTTTGACATCAGGCATGGTTCAAGAGGGTGAGAGGTTCCTTTTGTCCTCTGTGTGAGACTGTTAGCATCAAGAGGCATTACTGGATGTAATTCTTTATTTGTACATTGGGGCCAGAAGGACTAGTTGGGTTTGCTGCTTGTGTACTGCTCCTCCTGCTGCACAGAGAGAGGTATTCCTACCAGGGCGGCTCAATCTGATTGCTGAGGTGGCATGGATTTGTCCTGACTGGTAGTGTTGGGGGACTTGAACTTATCTTCCCTTGGTGAGGGGTCTGGAACAGCTCTGGAGTTTGTGGCTGCCATGACAACAATGGACATGACCCAATTTACTTAGGGTCTGACACATGTGGGAGATCACACAGAACATCTGGCTTTTGTCTTGGGGCAAGTGCAACATAATTTGAACGTAAGAGACACTGAACTTTGGCCCTTGTCATGGACAGATCTCTGATTAGCTTATCCCTCTGTGGATTCAGGAAGGCTTTGAAGACTTACCCGTTCCATCTTACAGAGAAGGAAGCTGCTCTTTGTCTGGTTGGTGGGTTGCCAGCACATGGTATTTGTATTTGTTGGTGCTTATTTTTTATTGTTATGATAGATAGATAGATAGATAGATAGATAGATAGATAGATAGATAGATAGATAGATAGATAGATAGATAGATAGATAATAGATCAGCTAGGCAGGCAGGCAGGCAGGCAGACAAGACTTTTCCTCTTATAGTTGTGCTTGTAAAACTTCACTTTTTTATTTTTTATTTTTTGCTTTTCTCTTGCTGTAATTATCTTAGGAAGATGGGAAATAGAACCATTAAAAGAAAATACGGTGCCTGGTGACAGAGGATTGGTACTGAAATCAGTAGCAAAACATCATGCAATATCAACTATGTTGACAAAGCCATTTATTTTTGATAGTAAGCCACTGATTGTTCAGTAAGTATATCTTTACATATGAAATAATAATAATAAATAAATAAATAAATAATTTATATACCGCTCTACTCCTAGTGATTGGTTTTCAAAATGTACTGGAATTATGTTTGGTGTAAAAAGAGTACAGGATTTATTTATAACTTTAAATGTTCAAAACAAATTAAAAATGTTTTTAGATCAATCAGTCATAGGGAGAGGCAACAACTGACATTTAAGAACTGCCTAACACAGTGCCTGAAGTAACTGGGAACTAGTAGCTAAACAAACTTTTAATTAATATTTATCTCCAAAAGAGTATTCATGTGTTTCTATTATGCAGATATGAAGTGAACTTTCAGGATGGCATTGATTGTGGTGGTGCATATGTTAAACTTCTATCCAAAAGTGATGACTTGAATCTGGTACGTAATAACTGCAAGAGAGGATTTGATTAGTCATGTTGCAATGTTTGGAAGGAGAACTTCCAAATCTTTCAGTGCTTATATCAGTTTTTATTACTGAGGTTCATACAGAAATAGGCACCACTTGGCATGATACATAATTCATCAATGCTAGACATACTTCAGTCATTATTGGATTTTTTTTTTAGTAATCCACATACACTAGCCTGGTAAATATGTTTCATTAATTAGAATGTTTGCTGCTTGTGGGTATTTTTTTTTCTCATCCTTCAGTCATATTCTTAGTAGTTTGAAAGGAAAAGCAAAACTGTAATACAAATATAGAAAACAAAATTAAATCTCAAACTGAAAAGATATAAAAAGATATAAATCAGCAGGTTTGAAATTGTATGTAAAAAGATCCAGAATATAAAAGGCCTCTTCACCTGGCATTTTAAAAAAAGTCAATAAAATGAAAAATTGTAATCTGGCATATTATATCCCACCTGTGTCCCAAGAAGTTCAGCGTACATAGTTGTTCCTGCCCACCCTTAATTTCATTATTGTAAAGTTCTGTAAGGTTAGTTAAGCTGAAATATTATCATTGGCTAAAGATCAGCCAGTGAGCTTCAAAGATGAGTTCTATTAATCTGATGCTAACCAAAAATTCTTCTCTTTATGTTAATTTATTCCAGAATTTGAGTTAGGATTTGAAAATACTGGAACTTTAGTTTTAATCCACTAATATGTTAATATTTAAATTAACTATAACTCATGTGGTTGATATTTTATGTAATTATACAGACAAGGTAAGGAAAGCATGCAGAGCATGGCTTCTGAAATTCTTTCCAGTCCTTTACCAGCAGTGGCCACAAGGGAGACGTGTTTTTTTTTTCTGGGTAATAATGTAATCTGTTCCTTCTCTATATTTATGTACTGTACTTTTGTTGCATCTCTGTGTACATTAGGAAGCATGAAGTGAGTTGCATTTGTTTCTGCTCTGGGTCACAGAACTGGGAAGAAGCAGGCTTAGAATGAAGCATTCACCAGCATTCCAAGATGTTGGCCAACTGCTCCTCTTGGAGGGAGGCACTGGGGGAATTTTGTTTTCTGTAGTCCATTTTCTCTGAGCCAGCCCATTTTCAGACTCAATCTTAGTTTTGCTAGTTTCTTCCCCCACTAGAAACTTGGTCTTGTCTTATTCATTTCTAAGTGAGTTGTTGTGCTGACACAATGAGCCTTGGCCCCTCTTATATAGTTTCTTTCCAACTTTTTGCTAGTTTGGAAAGAGTAAAAATAGGTCCGGGATATCTGCAATTGTTAGTGTCAAGCTTTATTAATGTGATTCATTGAAAGATTAGTTTTAAATATTTAGAACCAGATCCAATCATTATATTCTGCTTGGTGCCAGGTACATTCAGCTGTCCTTCAACCACAGTTTTTTTTTAATTGCAAGAGCCCTATTGTTGGAAAGAAAAGGTTAGCAGCAGGAAATTCCTATGCAACTGCACAATTATCTTTTTAGTTCTCATTCTGAAAATTGCTAATTCATCGATTATGTTATTATGAACTACAACTAAAGAAATACTACTAATTTTTGAAAACATTCTTTTAAATGTCATTTAGAAGAGGGAGATATCAGGCTCTAACTAGTACCAATGTTTTTTGTTACAAAATGTTTTTTTATTATAAACGAAATATCATGTTCATTTTTATCCTACAGGAATACTTCTATGATAAAACATCATACACAATTATGTTTGGGCCAGATAAATGTGGAGAAGACTATAAATTACACTTTATCTTCAGACATAAACATCCTAAAACTGGGGATTATGAGGAAAAACATGCCAAGCGCCCTGATGTAGATCTGAAAAAAATTTACACTGACAGGAAGACCCATCTATATACTCTTGGTACTTTTTACATTTTTAAGCTTAGAAAAATAACATAGAATGGAAATACTTTTTAAAAGCACAAGCATATATTTAAAAGCAGAAGCATATGTTCTGTATTTTAGAGGAATATGAATTTTCTTTTGGTCATTCTGGGAATATTTAATACTCAGTTTCTGTGGTAGTAACAATTTAATATTGCTGTCCTGTAAACTTTTGAAGAATAGGACAAAGATTTCAGAGAAAACCTAAAGGAAATCAAACTCTTTGTTTCAACAATATGCCTTTTTACACTTTATGCTATAGCTTACTATAACTGTAGAAGCAGGTATGTATAAAGGAAAGCACTGATAGCTCTAGAAAACAGGGAACGTTAGATAATTTCCTTGCATCAGTTTTATAATGAAAATTAGAGGAATTCTTAAAACTTGAAGATAGTTTTTCTTACATTTACTGATGAAAGCAGTGGGGCTCACATTCTTAGAGCAGAACTCATAAGTATTAGAATTTTGCAAACAAAAGGATGTTACAATTCAGAGTGCCAAGAAGTCTATAATTTTGCTTAAATTTGCTTTGTAGAATAGGGCTTTTATAGGGGTTAAAATCTAAAGCATCCAACCTGATGCCCTACAGATTTGCTGGATTACAAATCCCATAATTCTCAGCCATGTTGGCTTCAAGTTGGTAAAGATCTTCAGGAAAATATTGGTTGTTCAGTTGCCAACATTAATACTGATTTATTGTTCCCCTCAAATTAAATGATGCTGCTGAATAGGATAATTAAGATGTATTGTAAAGTGAATTGAAGGTTATCCTATGTGCATCCTAATATTAACTACAAATCATTTTATTTTGAGATAATTGATCATATATGGGTCTCTGAATTTTATTATATTTACTGCCTGCAAGATAAGAGTTAAATAGAAACTGACAAGCTTTCGAGGATCATATCTAATAAGTATATGAATTTCTTGTTTGCCTATTTAAATAAAATGGAATCCTAAGAATTCTTCATACAGAATAAGGTGCACTGAACACAACATGTTTAACTTCTGAATAAATAGGGATAAAAATGCATGGGGTTCAGTGTTATGCTTTTTACATATAATAAAATTGGAAGCAATATCTTTTAAAAGAACAAAGATGATAGTCTTGATTTGAAAAATTACCAGATATTTTAAGAATACATTTTTTCATAATTATATATGGCTAAACTTGTGATTTGAGGTTAAATTTGTTTTAAGCAAATTCATTTGGAAATACATTCCTATTATAATTCCCTGCCTGAGCTTCTGGAGGCCATCTCGGGGTTGGCAGTGGAGTTCCCCAGACTTATGATTCTGGGGGACTTCAATCTGCCATCCCTGGGGTGTGCCTCTGAAGCAGCTTGGGAGTTCATGTCCACCATGGTGGCCGTGGGCCTGTCCCAGATTATTAGCAACCCAACTCGAGACAGTGGTCTCACACCAGAATTGGCTACAAGGGGGAGCTACATCATGTCCTGGTGGCCTTGAGATTCTCTTCTGTTACCCCCCTCCATAGGGAGGCAAGACCCATTCAATTGGTCCCCCCCGATGACTGATGGACCCAGTTGGGTTCCAAAGGGAGCTAGGGGTGATACCCGAGGGTCTGCTGCATGGTCCAGCAGAGACCTTGGCCACTACCTGGAATAGGGAAACAGCCAAGGCCTTGGACAAGATCACACCTGTGCAACCTCTCTTGACCCATCAAGCGCAACACTCCCCATGGTTTATGGAGGAGTTGAGGGTCTTGAAAAGGATTAAGAGACGTCTAGAGTGCCGCTGGAGGAAAACAAGGACTGAACCTGACCGAACACAAGCTAGAGTTGTTATTAAGGCCTACCTTGTGGTGGTAAGAGCAGCGAAACGACAATATTTCTCCACTTTTATTGCATCTGCAGAATGCCACCCAGTGGCCCTGTTTAAGATCACCCAATCCCTTTTGGGAAAGGAGGGCCCAGCTGCCCCCCTACAGGGCCGCATAGAGGAGTTTTCTGGGCATCTGGAGGATAAAATCGCTTGGATTCGTTCCCAGTTGGATACCAAGTGTGGGGTATGGCTTGTAGAGATGCCCCGGGGACCGACTTACCATGTTATCTGGGAACAGTTTGATCCTGTTGAGCCCGAGGAAGTGGACAGGGTCCTCTGGACTGTTAATGCCACTACTTGCCAATTAGATCCATGTCCCTCCTGGCTGGTTAAGGCTGCTCGGGAGGTGATGTGTGGGTGGATCCAGGCAATGGTGAATTCATCCTTGAGGGAGAGAGGGTTTCTAGATGTCTTTAAAGAGGTGCTGTTCATCCCCCCCCTCAGGAAACCATTGCTGGATCCCACTTATTGGACAAATTTCGTCCAGTCTCCCACCTCCCCTTTTTAGTTGAGAAGATGGTGGCATTGCAGCTCCAAAGGATCCTGGATGAAACAGATTATCTGGACCCTTTTCAGTCAGGTTTCAGGCCCAGATATGGGCTGGAAACAGCATTGGTCGCACTCATGGATGATCTGTGGTGGGAGTGGGATGGGGGTAGTACATCCATCCTTGCTCTTCTTGACCTCTCAGCAGCTTTCAGTATCATCGACCATGGTATCCTTTTGGGTCGACCTGGGGATTTGGGAGTGGGCGGCACAGTTTTCCATTGGTTTATCTCCTTCCTCCAAGGTTGGTTCCAGTTGGTGTTGATTGGGAGCGAGAGGTCTAGCCCTCAGACCCTCCATTGTAGGGTGCCACAGGGTTCAGTACTCTTTCTACTCCTTTTTAACATCTACTTGAAACCACTGGATGAGATCATCTGTCACCATGGGATAAGGTATCATCAATATGCAGATGATACCCAATTATACATCTCCATCCCGGGTGACCTGAGTGATGCTGTGACCACCTTTTTGCGGTGCATGAAGGCTCTGGGGCCTGGATGGGCATGCAACAGGCTTCAACTGAACCCTGGTAAGACGGAGTGGCTATGGATTGGAGGTCCCTCTATATCCAGGGGTGTACCATCTTTGGTTCTGGATGGGGTTGCATTGCCCCAGTAAGACCTGATGCATAATCTGGGGGTCCTTCTGGACTCACAACCCCTGCTCAAAGAGCAGGTGGCAGTTGTGGCCAGGAGGGCCTTTGCTCAACTTTGTGTTGTGTGCCAGTTACGCCCCTTCCTGGATCAGGAGGTCCTCAGGTCAGTCACTCACGCCCTGTTCATCTCATTTAGACTACTGCAATGTGCTCTACATGGGGCTACCCTTGAAGAGTATCTGGAAGCTACAGCTGGCCCAGAATGCAGCCGCGCGGGCTACTGTTGGAGCCCCAAGGAGGGCCCATGTAACGCCTCTGCTCCATGAGCTGCATTGGGTGCCAGTTTGCTTCCGGGTCCAATTCAGGGTGTTGGTTATCACCTTTAAAGCCCTACATGGCATGGGCTAAGGTTACCTGAAGGACTGTCTCACCCCCATCACATCAACCCATCCCACCCAGTCAGGCAAGGAGAGCATGTTGTGGACCCCATCGACTGGTGGGGCCCAGGAGGAGAGCCTTCTCTGCTGTGGCCCCTGCCCTATGGAATATTCTCCTCCCAGTGGTGAGATGGGCCCCCACCCTCCTGGCTTTCCAGAAAGAACTGAAAACCTGGCTCTGCTGTCTCGCGTGGGGTGAGAAGAGATATAATCAACCCTGGGGATGGCTGGCGCTGTGAGGACGCTCTCCAAGACTAATAATTTTACCATCAATCTTAGAAGATATTTATTATTTATTATTTGTAGGTCTATTGTTTCATTGTATTTTAATTAATATTTATTCCTTTACTGTAAATTGCCCAGAGTCGCTTCTAGGAGATGGGCGATGACAAATGTGAAATATAAATAAATAAAATAAAAACATAATAATACTGAATCCTCTTTCCAAATAAATGTTCAGGCTACATGCTCAATAAAAAAATTTCACTGTTTGGAACTAGTATAATTTTCAGGCTGGTTGTATGGTACAAAGGGATTGAAAACTATAAACTGAATCAATTTCTAGTGAATAAATTTTTAGGGAAATAATTGTGAAAAATTATAATTTCCCCTTCATTTAATATATTAACTTACTATATTTTAGTGCTGAAACCTGATAATACTTTTGAAGTATTAATTGACCAAGCAGTTGTCAGTAAGGGAAGTCTCCTAGAAGACATGGTTCCACCTGTAAATCCACCAAAAGAAATTGAAGATCCTAATGATAAGAAGCCTGAAGACTGGGATGAGAGAGCTAAAATACCTGATCCTGACGCTGTCAAGCCAGATGACTGGTAAAGAAAATATATGCCTCCCCCCCCCCTTTTTTATGCCTTTCTTCTGTCTCCTATTTACACGTAAGTGGACTTTGAACCTGCCTGCCTGCCTGCATATAACAATTTTATATATCATGGTCATTAGCAGATGTGCTCACAAATAGTGTTCTCTAGTGATCATCACTGCTGTTCAACCAAGGCTTTCACTTAATGCTTTTTAGCAAAATAAAGTATAGACTAGGTTACCAGTCTTAGATGTACCCATGTCACATGTCAGGTCGTAATGCCACAAGCACAACCAAAGGCCATTTTTATTCCAAACGTGTGCTATTCTGTGCAAACTAGGATCTGCATTTTTTACTGAATTGAGTTAATCTTTGAAGTGTTCTTCCAGATGCAAAGATTTGTAGTTGTAATATTGATGTAGCGGTGTTCTTTTGATTCAGAGTTACTCATATAATAAAAGGACTTAGAACATTTAAAATATTATGATGCAAATGTAGAAAACTATAAATTTTACAGAGACTTTAAAACCAAACCTTTTTCTCTGGGGGAACAAAAAATATACTCATTATAGTAATATATGCTACTGCTATTTTATGTATCTTGTGATAAAATTGGCTTGTAATTTTAAGGAATGAAGATGAACCTCCAAAAATAGAAGATCCTGATGCTGTTAAACCTGAAGGTTGGCTTGATGATGAACCTGAATACATTCCAGATCCAAATGCAGAAAAACCAGAAGATTGGTAAGTATGCCTGTCATTCTGGAAATTATTCCCAGGCTCTAATTTCTTTAACAGATTGGATTGAAGATATTCTTTTATTTATGACTCTGTAAGCTGTTTTTTTATGTTTATCTTTTGCTTTATTGAGTGGCTTTAGTTGCCTTATATTATATTTAAATATGTGAAAGCTGTCTGATTATTAAGTGGGAAAGTTGGACAGGAACTGAAAACTGAATCTGTTAAGGTGTGAAAATTAATATATCAAACAAACAACAATAGTCTTCAGCATTGTGTGTTAGAAAACTTTAAGAGTTTATTTATTTATTTGAAATGTCCTTGAGCTACCTTTATGGGCAGAAACAAGTATTCTAGAAAAGCTAGAATATTCCTCCAAAATATTAATGTCCGCCCTAAATCCACTTGGAACCTCAAGGAGGATTCTAAAACAACTCAGGAAAGTTTGGATAAATAAATGGGGATTTAAAGCTTTCTTAAAACTGATAATGTGACCGTATGCTAATTAGGAACTATTTTAATTGGTCTATCAAGGATTGAATCTTAAACATATATCTGTAGCATTTGATCAGATGCTTCAGAGGTCACATGTAATTGCAAAGTTTAATAGCTGCACTGTGGATTTCATTGAAGTAAAAATCTTTCAGGGATAGGACAAAATATCTCCATTCTCTCTTTCAGTATGTAGCAGTAATAAATTATGTCCCACTGAGTGAAGGCACTGAAACTGCTAGCAGGATGTAAGAGTCTGATTGCAAGATGTCAGCCCAGAGGAAAATGACATGTTTTATGTGTCATCATTGCATTTTGAGTTATGTCTTCAGCTATCTAAACAGATAGGAACGGGGTATATTTTCTGCTTTATAGCTTCATCTTTTTTTTTAATGTTTTTTGAATGGATATGTATATCTTTTTTACAGGGATGAAGAAATGGATGGGGAATGGGAGGCTCCACAGACTCCTAATCCAAAATGTGAAACTGCACCTGGTTGTGGAGTATGGGTACGCCCCATGATGAACAATCCAAACTATAAAGGAAAATGGAAGCCACCAATGATGGAGAATCCTAACTATCAGGTAACAGCAGCAATTGATATACATAGATAGACAGACAGACAGATATATTGTGTTGACTAACATATACTTTGTTGGGAATTATAATGGACTGCTTTAACCGATTAATTACTATCATGCCGAATCTCACTTCATATTCTTCGTTGCACGGTGGGAAAACCAGAAGTTAGAATGGCAAAGTTCAATTATAGGTCTGCTGCTTATTCTGTTTGTGGATTGACGTCAGTTTTATACAAATGAAACTTGCAACAAACTGTATTCCTGAACCTACTTCTAATCGGCCATGCCCTCTTTTAAGGTACTTTATTCCATGCTTTCACAACCACTGTAAGTCCCTATCATTTCAATAATCATCATTCTTATCTCACTAAACACAGTTTATCTTCCTTGAACTGCTTCAGATATCTCATTGCTACTCATGCAGTTATTCCAAGAATTTTTATTCTTATGAAAATTTCCCCAACCCTGTTGATATCTTCCTTTTGTGTGTATATGCTCCATATCAGCTTTATAAGAATATAGGGAATAGCAGTTGAAAAATTGAGTTAGATGTTGGCATATGTAAAAGGTGCACTGTGTCATCTCTTTGGAAACGCAGGAAAATATCTGAAGGTTAGTGACTTTTGATCATTACTCTAGTTGGATCCACAGTAAAGTTGCTTGTATTTACTAATAAAATTTTCGTATACATTTTCTGTATTTATGTATGTATGGATTTATAGAGCCTCCCAACACAAACCACATGACTGAGGATGGTGTACAACAAAAACAAACAATAAATAGGGGAAAAAATACAGTGTTAAAAAAATAAACCAATATACAGTATAAAATAAAAAATGGTGACCAAATGTGTTAATTAAACAATCAAAAGGAGACTTCATTCAACTAGACCCAAATGCCTGGGAAAAGAGCCAGGTCTTAATGACTTTTCTAAAGGCAAGCAGAGTTGGGCCTGTTGTTTAATGGAATCTGTGTAGGTATCTGATCAGTACAGACTTATTTAGAAGAAAGTCTAATAGTGTACAACAGGACTTAGTATTATAGAGAATTGGCAAAGTAGCATCCCTAGCACCTCTATATGATACTGTTGGGTCAAAATCAAAATCTCACAATACCCAATTATTATAAAATCTACTTTATTTAATTTTATTTTTGGCATTTGCAACATAATGGGAAATGGCACCCACTGCTTTAAAGGATCCTGGACAATGACGTATCTCTTACACTATTAATCCAGATGAAATCTAAAAATTAGAAATCTTTTAACACAAGCAGCTATCTATGTCAGCAGGGTATTTCTTCTGGCCATTAAACCATTGACAGTGGCCTTGTTTGGATGATCAAATCTCAACTTATTTTTTGATTCTATCTTATTTCCTTTATTCTTTTTTTGCTGTGCAAGACATCAAATGAGAAAAATTCTAATAAACCATTGTTTTCCATCTCATCCAGTTTAGAAACTTGTGCTGTGTTTAATAATACTGCCTGGTTTACTCATGCATAAAGAAAGGAATCAAAGGACTAAATGCAGAGGCAAAGAGCTTATTCATATTGTGCCACAAATATAATTTTGTGACAGGTTAATATTTTAGTTAGATTGATGAGCTAAGCCACTCCTTTCCAATCCATAAAATACGAGACTGAATTCATCAATGGGAACCAGAGGTTGGATTATGTAAAAATGCTTTGTTTTACCCGTATCTATAGAGAAAAGTTAGATCTAAAATAATGTGAAGCTTCGTAATTTGAACAATTGCAAACTTTCTATGTGTTGCATTAGTTTATTAAATGTTTATCTTCTTTAATGTGTATTCTATTATTTTCTCTTGCAGGGTATATGGAGCCCTCAGAAAATTCCTAATCCTGATTATTTTGAAGACGCTTATCCTTTTCAGATGACTACTGTTGATGCTATTGGTTTAGAACTTTGGTCTATGACATCTGATATTTACTTTGATAACTTCATAATATGTTCAGACAAGGAAGTTGTTGATCGATGGGCAGCAGATGGCTGGGGCTTTAAAAAGTTGATTGCAAGTGCCAATGAAGTAAGAATTTATTATATTTTTTGCCTCAAATACATATAGTTGTTTTAAAAAAAACTGTCTTGAAATGCATGATATTTCAAAACTCCAATGACATTTAATTTTCAGTTTATTATGTCATTTATTATGTTAATTATACTCAATGTTTTGTATTCATTTGCTGATAATGATTTCCTAATTAAATTATATCATACTGATTACCCCTGCATGAGAAATATTTAGAAACAAACTCAATGTGTTTGTTTGATTATACCAGCCCTAGAACTCTGCTTATATGTTTTGTTTACTTTTACACAGTTAAGGTACTTAAAATTACATTTGATTTCTGTAACATAGTAAACAAATTTACTGAGATTTGGGCAACTTCCTGTCTCCTTGGCCACATCTTTTGTCTAGCTTTGATTTATACATATGCCCACAATATCAATAATCATCACTTAAAATTAAGACCCATCTGAGCAGTCCAGTTACACGATACTATTGTAAGTTTTCTATTCTTGCTGTCTTTATCCAGCAGTAAAAACCTAGTGGATCAACTAACGTTGGATATTTAGAGTGTTGTATACTTTTGAAGAAAAAAAGTTGATGTGCTAGTTAAATTAAGGAGTTAATAATGAATATTTCTTGAATAAGTTTCTAATGCTAAAAACTTTCAATGTGGTGAATGGCTTTTGTTGCCCTTGCCCTTCCATCTCTTATTTATTTACCGTATTTTTCCGACTATAAGACAATACTTTTTTCTAAAATACTTACCCTAAAAACTGAAGGGCGTCTTATTCAAGGAAGTCAGCCGAGAATCGCGCAGTTCCCAACTGCCCCTTCTTTGTTTCTGCAGAGAGGCTTCCTCCTATTGCTAGCCTCCATTCACAAGTGAAATAGCTTGTCTCCCAGACTTCCTCCAGTCATGAGCCTGATGTAACTGACATCAGCTGATGCTGAACAAACCAATTAGAGGAAGGCTGATTGC